CAGCAATGGGTACACGTGTTTCGCAAACAGTTCCTGTGGTGCGCCTATTGGTGCGGACTCGGCATACTGTCCAGCGTAGGCCTGGGCACCGGTTTGCACACGTTTTTGCTGTATTTAGTGAGTGTTTGATTGTATTTTTAATGTGTTTTTTATGTCTATTTTTAGGCATTTATTTTAGTTTTTGAAGTTTTGTAGTTTAATTCGTGGGATAAAGGATTAAAATACTTTTTAATGAGAGATTAAAGCGATTAATGAATGCATCGCTTGTTTGATATAATCATTGAAATTATGCCAAAAGTTTTTAACAACTTATTAATTAAGGCATTAATGTTTTTGAATGACATTTGTTTGAAGTGCTTTTTAAATGCACTTATTTTTAGGTTTTGTTAACAATGTCTGAGATTTTTTCTATTGATTAAAAGTATTGTTAAATTTAATTGAATTGTATTTTATCTATTCATGTTTAGGGCCCACACATAGCGTCGGTAACGTTGGCCGCATACGAGTGCGATTCGCTAGACTTTCCATCGCCTCCCTATCCGGACGAGTAAGCGATCGATAAATGACTTTTTTAAATGCATTTTTAAATAATTTAATTACTTTTAAAAGCATTTTTAATTGAGTTTTGTTTTTAATTCAATACATTTTTAGTGAATTATGCTTTTAAAGGGTTTTATGTTAATTTTGTCATTCAATTTGTTAACTAATTTATGCAATGTTTTCGCACACAGAATCATATGCCCGGTGCCCACCCCTGGCGTACACCCCGTGACGGCCGTTGCGATCACCGTCTGGTCTATTATGTCGAAAGTACGTCTGGAGGCGTTCATGTGGGGCGCCGGCACCGCATTGGGTGAACTGCCGCCGTATTTCGTGGCCAGAGCTCATCGACTCGCCGGCGAAGACGAGGAGGAATTGGACGCCGATTTGGCCGAAGAGATAGCCGGCGGTAGTGAGACGTCGGGCGCTGTGGGCACAGCCGGCGCTGCCAGCGGTGGTGGCCAGCGATCGCTGGCCCAACGGTTTCGGTCAAATATGATACGACTGGTGACTCGCGTCGGGTTCTTCGGTATACTCGCGTGCGCTTCGATACCGAACCCGTTGTTCGATTTGGCGGGCATTACGTGCGGCTATTCATTGGTGCCGTTCTGGACGTTCTTCGGCGCCACTCTTATCGGCAAAGCGGTCATCAAAATGCATATCCAAAAGCTGTTTGTAATCGTGGCCTTCAATGAGAATTATGTCGATCTGTTTGTCCAGAAGAGCCGGTATGTGAAGCGGTTCCCAATCCTTGTCCACTATATTTGTGTCTAATGTTGTGTTTTGGTGTCCAATAGGAGTATACCATACGTCGGCCAATACCTTCACGAACCGTTGCGCGAGTTTTTGGCCAAACAAAAGGCCAGTCTTCACAGGGGATCCGCTAAACACGCCGTCAAAGTATGCCGTGATTTATATGCTATTGTTTTAGTGATATTAATATTGGTCTCTCTCTCTCTCCCGCACCCGACTGTCCCCTCAATAGGAGAGCTCATGGCTGTCGACGATCTTTGAATGGGTGGTGATCTCAATGTTAGTGTACTTCGCGGTCTCTATCGTCAACTCAATGGCTCAAAACAACCAAAAACGGCGCCTAAAAGAGGCCCAACACTCGGCGCCCGAGTCCGGGGCCCCACTCCTGGCCGGCAGTAGTGTTAGAAATACTGCCAAACATTTAAAGTCTAAATAATTGTAAATTAATTTTAGGTTTTAATTGAAATGAGTTTTGATTTTTGGATTTATTTTTTTAATTATTCACAACAACTGATGGTTTAGTTTATATATCGATATTTAGTTTTTACCTGTATTTATTTAATTACCATGATTATAATTGATAAATACATTATCCATTTTATAATTTAATTATACGATTTAAATTGTAATAATATTTGATATGAAAATGAAATGTTTGTTATATATAAACGGATTTAATTATTATTATTACAAGACATGTATGTATTTTGATTATAAGTGCAATCATTGGGTTGTTTTTGCATTAAGTTTTAATTTAGTTTTTTAATTATTATTATTAATTTTGTCCACATTTTTGTTTTGTATCACAAAAATAGTTATTTTCTATATATTTTTGTACACATCGTATGAGAAATGATGATTAAAAACAGCTATTGTTTTGTTATTCAATTGTAATTAATTAAAACAGCATTGGATTGATGTTTGGTTTGTATTGTTTATAAATTACAAATTTATAATAAGGTATATTAATTTAAAAATATAATTACTGGTCAGACAAATATTGATTAAATACGCTTGGTAGAAATAAAAAAGGATCGAGATTATAATTAGTAATTATTAATTACACTAAAGTCTTATAAAGTAATAAAGTATACCGTTTATTATGTCCATAGAGTTGTTAACATTAATTATACCAAATGTAATTGACGGGACAATTGGCGCCATCTGTGACCCATTGATATCCCTTGCGGTCACTTTTACAAACTTATAGTACGTTTGGTGTCCGAGAGATGACACATATGTTTCCATTCATTAATAATTTCACATTAATTTCATATATTCTTAAAAATAATGTAAAAGTTATATTAAATGTAAAATACCCCATATTTTAAACAATTGTAAACATTATAATTTACAAATAATTATTTATGTGTGTGTGTGAGAGAGAGAGAGAGAGAGAGAGAGAGAGAGAGAGATGCTATTAATATACGTTAACCACAATTGGGGTATTACTCACATCAATTTATAAGTAAAATTGTTAAAATCGGTGTTAATTGCATTAAAGTGTAGATTTAATTTATAATTAAGCTGGGTGTTTAATATCAGTGGATAAATTAAATCCATATTTGCGTTCAATTGCATTAAGGTGTAGAATTAATTTATAAGTAAACCCATTGTTAAATATCGGTGGTAATATTAAAGCCATATTTGCATTCAATTGCATTAAGGTGAAGAAATAATTTATAAATAAACTGAGTGTTAAATATCAGTGGTAAAATTAAAGCCATATTTGCGTTCAATTGCATTAAGTTTTAATTTAGTTTTTTAATATGGTAATATTAATGCAATATTTGCGTTCAAATGCATTAAGGTGTAGAATTAATTTATAAGTAATCGCAAGTTTAAATATCGGTGGTAATATCAAAGCAATATTTGCGTTCAATTGCATTAAGGTGTACAATTAATTTATAAGTAAACCCAAGTTTAAATATCGGTGGATGAATTAAAACAATATTTGCGTTCAAATGCATTAAGGTGTAGAATTAATTTATAAGTAAACCCAAGTTTAAATATCGGTGGATGAATTAAAGCTATATTTGCGTTCAATTGCATTAAGGTGTAGAATTAATTTATAAGTAAACCCAAGTTTAAATATCGGTGGTAATATTAAAGCAATATTTGCGTTCATATGCATCAAAGTGTAGAATTAATTTAAAAGTAATCGCAAGTTTAAATATCGGTGGTAATATCAAAGCAATATTTGCGTTCAATTGCATTAAGGTGATGGTAATATTAATGCAATATTTGCGTTCAAATGCATTAAGGTGTAGAATTAATTTATAAGTAAACCCAAGTTTAAATATCGGTGGTAATATTAAAGCCATATTTGCGTTCAATTGCATTAAGGTGTAGAATTAATTTATAAATAAACTGAGTGTTAAATATCAGTGGTAAAATTAAAGCCATATTTGCGTTCAATTGCATTAAGGTGTAGAATTAATTTATAAGTAACCCCAAGTTTAAATATCGGTAGATGAATTAAAGCCATATTTGCGTTCAATTGCATCAAAGTGTAGAATTAATTTAAAAGTAAACCCATTGTTAAATATCGGTGGTAATATTAAAGCCATATTTGCGTTCAATTGCATTAAGGTGTAGAATTAATTTATAAGTAAACCCAAGTTTAAATATCGGTGGTAATATTAATGCAATATTTGCGTTCAAATGCATTAAGGTGTAGAATTAATTTATAAGTAATCGCAAGTTTAAATATCGGTGGTAATATCAAAGCAATATTTGCGTTCAATTGCATTAAGGTGATTTATTTATAAGTAAACCCAAGTTTAAATATCGGTGGTAATATTAAAGCAATATTTGCGTTCAATTGCATTAAGGTGTAGAATTAATTTATAAGTAAACCCAAGTTTAAATATCGGTGGTAATATTAAAGCAATATTTGCGTTCAATTGCATCAAAGTGTAGAATTAATTTAAAAGTAAACCCATTGTTAAATATCGGTGGTAATATTAAAGCCATATTTGCGTTCAATTGCATTAAGGTGTAGAATTAATTTATAAGTAAACCCATTGTTAAATATCGGTGGTAATATTAAAGCCATATTTGCGTTCAATTGCATTAAGGTGTAGAATTAATTGATAAGTAAACCCAAGTTTAAATATCGGTGGTAATATTAAAGCAATATTTGCGTTCAATTGCATTAAGGTGTACAATTAATTGATAAGTAAACCCAAGTTTAAATATTGGTGGTAATATTAAAACAATATTTGCGTTCAATTGCATTAAGGTGTAGAATTAATTTATAAGTAAACCCAAGTTTAAAAATCGGTGGTAATATTAAAGCAATATTTGCGTTCAAATGCATTAAGGTGTAGAATTAATTTATAAGTATACCCATTGTTAAATATCGGTGGTAATATTAAAGCAATATTTTCGTTCAAATGCATTAAGGTGTAGAATTAATTTATAAGTATACCCATTGTTAAATATCGGTGGTAATATTAAAGCAATATTTGCGTTTAATTGCATTAAGGTGTAGAATTAATTTGTAATTAAGCTGAGTGTTAAATATCGGTTGTAAAATTAAAGCCATATTTGCGTTCAATTGCAATCAGGTGTAGATTTAATTTATATTTAAGCTGAGTGTTCAACCGTACTGTTCAGTCGCTATTCTTAGACTCCACTCGATCAGAGTGCTAGCCATTCTATTAATTGTTCTCATCTACAGTAATCGGTCTCTCACTTCGACCACTGTTTTAATACCACTTCTTATACTAATCGGCCGTTTCTCGGACCAGTGATTTAGATCACTTTCAATGTGATTTTATCCAAGTTTTCATATACGTTGTTATCCATTTTATTGTGACTAAGAATAAACTCATTGACCAAACAGTAACTTATTCGGTATAAGCATTGTGTTTAGCGCGACCGCCGTTGAACTCACAGCTCCGGTCAACAGTAGTTTTGACTAGAGAGTACTTTTGCCTCCATTCACCCAAATCTGTATTCTCATTTATGTACGATATGATATTCCCTAATAAGGGGGCGGTCAAGTGATTCCAATCGTACGGTTTTTTAAATTTCTCAAAAAGTAAAAGAGATAATTTGATTTAGTAAACAGCATTCAATAGCCCCATATACGCGGGATCTTTTGCATAGAAGATCTATATATTTTGGTCACGTGGTATACAAAATATGGGACAATTCCAAATGGTCATGTTACCGGTAAAACGATAAGAGATATAGAGATGGTCCTCATGGGTAATTTGTAAAGGGATAAATTCTGCACACAATAAAAAGAATTACTAAAATATGATTACTTGTATAAATTTTATGGCTCAATGAAGACAAGCATTTCGTAATGCTAATCCTCTAGCAAAATTTTAAGTAAAAAATATTGAGATGGTCCCAATACAAAATAGTTAGAGCAAATAATTGTGTACAATATAAAAAAAGAATTATCAAAATCAAAGATGTATTTTAGGCTTTATCAACAAAAGAATGATGGTATTTTATAATAATATGAATTTTTCCAAAATGTTGAAAATAAAATATTTTGAATAGTATTGGATTTAATGTAAATTATAAAATTTATTAGTAATTATTATGCTGATTCTTTATTAAAATCTGTTTGCTAAATGAATAAAAAGTATATTTATGAAATATGTCGTTTATAAAGACAATTACTCTTTTGTTGATAAAACCTAAAATACATCTTCGATTTTGATAATTCTTTTTTATATTGTACACAATTATTTGCTCTAATTATTTTGTATTGGGACCATCTCAATATTTCTTACTTAAAATTTTGCCATAGGATTAGCATTACGAAATGCCTGTTTTTATTGAGCCATAAAATCTATACTAGTAATCAGATTTTAGTAATTCTTTTTTTATTGTGTGCATAATTTATCCTTTTATAAATTACCCATGGGGACCATCTTTATATTTCTTATGGTCTGGCCAATAACATGCCCATTCCGAATTGTCCCATATTTTGTATACCACGTGACCAAAATATATTGACCGCCTATGCAGCAGATCCCGCGTATATGGGGCTATAGAATGCTTTTTACAGAATCAATTTATCTCTTCTCGTTTAAAAGATATAATGAAAACCGCAGTCTTGGAATCACTTGACCGCCCCCTTACGTAAAGTATGTGCACATTAACCAAAAAATCATATATTCTAAATATTTTGTATTGGGACCATCTCAATATTTCTTACTTAAAATTTCTCCATAGGATTAGCATTACGAAACGTCTGTCTTTATTAAGCCATGAAACCTATACTATTGATCAGATTTTAATAATTCTTTTTTATTGTGTGCAGAATTTATCCCTTTACAAATTACCCATGGGGGCCATCTCTATATCTCTTATCGTTTTACCGGTAACATGACCATTTGGAATTGTCCCATATTTTGTATTCCACGTGACCAAAATATATAGATCTTCTATGCAAAAGATCCCGCGTAT